GGCCAAGTCGATAACCAGGTACAATAATAAAATAGGTACGCAGAGCATACATGTGTTAGCCTCGGAAAGCTTGCCTAAAAAGCTGTGCTAAAAAGATTGCATATTCGCATACAAAACAACAAGGCAGAAAGCGCATAGCAACACGAGGTCATGCTATGCAAGTTTTTGCATTATTCAAATAGTGCAGGTTTATTGGAATAGCATGACCAGTTGCCATGGCTAGCTTGCCACTGAATACTCAATGCTACAATATATCATGTATATATAAACAATAATACTTGAATGAAAGAATCTACACGAGGCTACTGACCTTGACAGGCTTAACTTTGTCTCGGTGAATATTCCCCGATAACTACCTCGCCTTCGAATCCCACCACATTTTCCCGGCCACGCGTGTTTCTGGCGTGTTTCTCCCCCGCCGGGGACGTAACCTGAAATTCAGGCCCTAATTAGGGCCTGAATTTCAGGTTAGGGGACGAAGCTGTTACCCTGGTTGTGCCTCCTGCATTGAACCGTAGAATTTCAGTGCTCTCACTTTTAAGGAATTATCCTTAAAAATAGGAATTTTGAAGTGTTTTAAGGATTTTTTTCAAGGAATTTAGGTTTTGAGGATTTTTTTAAGGAATTTCCGAAACATTTTATCCTGGACTAAAAACGTTGGACGGAGGATAACCATGCCAAGCAAATGAGATTTAAACTTGAAAGTAGCAACATTATACGCACATAATTACATATATTCGTATGTTCTCTATGCCATAAATGTACATATGGCTGTGTTTCCATTTAAATTCTCAAGAGTTGAATGTCAGTATATGCTGTTTCTTCTGAAATCTACAGATTTTCTAAGCTCTTCATGCAGGAACGATAAAAAATTCATCATGTTGAATGAATTGTTTTCTTTATGGCATTATGCTAACAACCAAATGTTTTCAGTGCTTAGAAACAAGGTTGAAAAACTGAAAAACAGAAAAAATGGAGAAAAAGACTTTAAAACTATATGATCAGGCCTTGCAGTAATTTTACCAAATTAAGGAATTTTAAGAAAATTTGAGGAATTTTTGAGCTTTTTCTAAGGAATTCGAAAATTTGATTGTGAGAGCACTGCCATAGATTGAACTAAAAATAACCCCCGTGAGCTTGCTGTATTTTATAGTTCACCAATACTGCAAATTTTATTATTTTATTGTATGTTCTGCCTGTTTTATATCGAAATATTTTTCAAGGTAAGATGAAAGTTTGATCATAAATAACAATGTGTTTTGGTCGAAGTATTTTATCCATTGAAAGGAATGAATTATAACTGTATTTAAATTATTAAATTTCTAGGTGCATAGAAGTCTTCATATCGTCGTTCAAAAAGTTTGTAAAAAATCTGATTGAGCTTGATAGATTCAAAACATTGCACTTCAAGGTATAAATAATCATAGTGATTACTGATAGTTCATTACGGTATTATAAATATTGTTATTATGGGAGTGTCAATTGAGCAATATCGTGCCCGCATTGGAACACACAATTGTCATTGTATACAAATGAAACATCTGACTAATTGTTTGCAAGATAGCTTTCATCGCATATTGTTCATATTATTTCATATGATTATAGTGGTTATAATGTTAATAATATTTGTTTGTATGTGTTACTTATGGCGCATTTTCCATGTCAAAAATAACATTGTGTGTGCAGATTACTTTATGGCATTTGGAGATGTCATTATGTAATTTCAGCATTGCTTTATGGCATTTGGAGATGTCATTATGTAATTTCAGCATTGCTTTATGGCATTTGGAGATGTCATTATGTAATTTCAAACCTTACATCTAACGATCACTTGCACACATAACGATCACCTGCACACATAATGAACACTTGCACACATAACGAACACTTGCACACATAACGAACACTTGCACACATAATGAACACTTGCACACATAACGAACACTTGCACACATAATGATCACTTGCACACATAATGATCACTTGCACACATAATGATCACTTGCACACATAATGAACACTTGCACACATAATGAACACTTGCACACATAATGAACACTTGCACACATAATGAACACTTGCACACATAATGAACACTTGCACACATAATGAACACTTGCACACATAATGAACACTTGCACAACAGATGAGCAGAGCGAGTTTTTAGACGAGAAATCCCAGATGAAAACATCTTGCAGTACTATTCCGACAGCGATTTGCGAGCACAGTATCGTTTCGGTAGAGAAGCAATTTTGAACATCGTCCGCCTTATTGAAGAGGAAATACGTCCTGCAACAAACCGAAGCTTTCCAATTTCGGCAACAAATCAAGTGTTGATAACATTAAGATTTTTGGCAACAGGCAGTTTCTTGCAAGTTACAGGAGACACGATAGCTGGGGCAGATAAGTCTACCGTTAGTCGTATTGTTCGTCGAGTAACTTTGGCAATCGCTCGTAAACTTGATGATTTCGTAAAATTCCCGGGAACACAACACGAGAAAGCCCTCATCAAACAAGGATTTTACGACCTTGGAGGTTTTCCATGCGTTATCGGATGTGTTGACGGGTCCCATATTAGGATCATAGTTCCATCAGCAAACGAGTGCAATTTCGTCAACAGGAAAGGATATCATAGCATAAACATACAAGGGATCTGTGACCACAAAGGTTTGTTTATATCAAAGCAGGATAATTTAATACTAGTGTGAAACGCACCACATTCGTTCACACTATTCTAGCACAATATTCAGCATCAGCAAAAATTCCTTTGATTTTGTAAAATTTCCTTAAATGTGTCTGGGGAGTGTTCATTATTTATGGTTGGGGGGGGGGATTGAAATCATGGGAGAGGGGGGAGTTTGGCATTTGTTTTTTGGGGGGTCACCAGAGTTTGAGAAGTAATTGGGGGGGGGGCTCATGGAAGCAGAAAGCTTTAGTTCTGTGACAATGTTTTGACCTCCAACATACCCAGTAAATTTTATGCCGAAAATAGGCTTTTACTTGTTTTTACTTTTTAGGCCCTTTTTTGAACCAAAATTTCCAACAATTTTCCAGAAATGTGAGCGGGACAGTTGCCCACCACCCCCACCAAACTTGTTGTAAATATAGGCCTAGAGGCCTGCTAGCTTTTTCTCTCATTGAGCTTTAATTGCATATGGTACTATAGGGAAATTTCTCAATGTTGTCGCAAAATGGCCTGGTGCAACCCATGACAGTCATATCTTCAGAACATCAGCAATGGACCTTTCACCTTTTGACTAAAATTTAGATCTTAACAAGTCTAGACAAAAATTTTATCACAGCTTGAAAGAGCATCACAAAATTAGTAATATTCCAAAGTTTCATTGCGAAATGTTGTAAGATGCGGATAATATAGCCTTGCGAAGTTTGCCATTTTCAGTCATTTTGTATTACGCGCGGGAAATACATACCTCCTTCGGAAAAAGGGTATGTATTTCCCGTTTGTAATACAAAATGACTGAAAATTGCAAACTTCGCAAGGCTATATTATCCGCATTTTACAACATTTCTCAACGAAACTTCGGAATATTACTAATTTTGTGATGCTCTTTCAAGCTGTGATAAAATTTTTGTCTAGACTTGTTGAAATCTAAATTTTAGTCAAAAGGTGAAAGGTCCATTGGGCTGGCACTAGAAGGAACAACATTGGATGATGGTGTTCTTCTTGGTGATAGTGGGTATCCATGTTTACCATATCTTATGACACCATACAACAACCCCATCACCGTACAGCAACGGCGATTTAATCGAGCACAAAAATGCACAAGATCTTCGATTGAAAGAGCTTTTGGCATCTTAAAAAGAAGATTTCATCTCTTGCATTCAGAGATTCGAATGGCCCCAGACAGAGTTTGCACCCTTGTTGCTGCATGTTGTGTGCTTCACAATATTGCCATTGATTACAATGAACCAATGGGGTATCATGACGAGGATGAAGACCAAGTAGACCTTGGCAATAACTATCAAGGTGCAAATAGGGGAGATGCTGTCAGAAGCCATATTACAAACACATATTTTTAATTCATGTTTCAAAAAATTGTAATTCAAATTTCTAATTGACATAATTAACTTAATATTATTTGTTATCGTTACATATATAAACAAAAATATTCTTACTTTATATTCAACAATTTTGTACAAAAATTTGCGAAAGTTGCTTAATTAATTTAATATTTGGAATCTGATATACACTGTCGTAGTATTATTTTTCAAAAAAATAAGCATAACAACGCACGGCATACAAAAGATGCAACAATATAATAAGGTCTAAAAATGGAGACCTTGCATGGTTTTAAGCATACAATACACCCTTTCGATGATTATGTCATTTGGTCTGGGAGGCTCGCTCTCATGAATTGTGAGCCAATCACCTTGCATAATTCACTAACGAAAGCAAGGGTCCAAGACCAAAAAGATTGTGTGACGTAATTATTGAAAGGGTGTATTGTGTGGCATGCATATATATTCAATGGGTATAATATACCTTTCAAATATAAACAATAAAACAAACTCAACTTGTCATTCAAATTAAAATGCTGCCTCTTCTGCTTCTTTAACTTCCAGTTTTAGTTTTTTTTTAATGAGTTTTGCATTCTCTAATTCCACAGAAATCTTCTCCCTCTCTAATTCCAAGATTTCCATCTGCATTCTCTGCAGGTCTTGTGCTGTTACTTTCCTTTTTTTGATATGGCGAGTAGTGGGAAGTGTTTGGTTGGAAGATTTGTTCTCGGCACTCATACTTGGGGGTAAAGCAATGAACTCAATATCGATTGTTGAGATAGGGATGGTAGGGCTCATTGGTGGTGGATCATCTCCTTCTGAGGGCTCACTTTCAATCAATTCTCGTAATGATGGTTGGTTTAAAAATGAGTCATTGAAAAGGTTGTCAGGATTGATGAGTTCAGTTGTGTCAGTCACAGTAGTAATAAGCTGCTTATCATTTCCTGAAAAAATCAATTTACTAGATAAATTAATGTACATGAACTGATGAAGTAGAATCCTATAGAAAACACACTCAAACATGAAACAAACTTGCTTGACAATAACAACAATGGTACATATCATGAACTATGTATTTATTAAACTACAAATATTGACTATAAAATATGAGTTATAACTTATCTGAAACAATACTGTCCTCGAGTCAAACGTTTATATAGTGTCCGGTTTAGTTTAGATATACCCAGTAGCTCGGCAGTCTATTTTACATTGAAACACACGACAGCCTCATACATCCATTTCCACTTGGTCACTTGGACAAACTTGGTTGTTTTTAGACTATTTTCGACATGTTCTGTAACGTCTGCCGTTTACTTTTCAGCTATGCCTATGATTTCAGTGATAAATATGCTGAAATATTTATTTAGGCAAAATTACGCAACCTACCGGATTCAATGCCCCCCGTTATACTGGAAAAGCTGGGCTCGTCTTCAAAGAGCTCGATGATTCGCCGAGACGTTTCCTTGACTGGTGCCGGTGCACTTCCGCCTCCGGTTTGCTTTTGTTGTTGCTTTGTGCGACTGTAATCTTTTTTCGCTGCAGAGACCATCGTTCGCCACTTATCTTTGATTTCACCGGTCATCCTCCTGGCAACGCCGATGGCATTGACTTTATCCGTAATGGATTTCCATACGTTGGCCTTCATTTTATTGTTTAACGTATTTGAAAATTTTTCTCGGATAACGCTCAAATTTTCCTCAGCCAGTTCGAGCAACAATGTGCATTCCATTAATTTAGTTTATTGTACGATCATCCAGATTAAATTTCTTTAATTATTTCTGACGTTTCGGCTACCTACACGGCGGCCATTATCAAAGACTAAGATAATTGTAAAAATTTTTTGTAACTGTAATATGTCTTTGATAATGGCCGCCGTGTAGGTAGCCGAAACGTCAGAAATAATTAAAGAAATTTAATCTGGATTATCGTACAATAAACTAAATTAATGGAAAAACCCGGATTCAAGCCCTTCAGTGAATGTGCATTCCGCTGGAGAAAAATTTGATTTCCGTGGTCGTTTAATTACATCGGTGGACGCCGACATGGTGAGAAAGTTTTTGATTACTTTTTTAAAAGATTTATGAAGACATATTCGTCATTTTGCATAGCAACACATAGCAACGAGCTTAGGATGGATAGTTATCCGACGGATAGCTATCCACCCTGCTATCCATGCTTCGTACAATGCATTTTTATCCAACGAATAACTATCCATTGGATAGGAGATTTATCCATTGGATAGGACTTATCCACTGGATAACTTATCCACCTTTCGTACAACTGGCCCCAGTATGGTTGGCCCATGAGTGCCATCAAGCATTTCTTACAAATATAATTATTTATTGATAAATTATTGATAATTTAACTTTTATTATTTAAAATGCGTAAATTTAATTGTTTTTAAAATCAATATCACTTTGTATTTAACTACTAAATGAATGTCATTAGGGTTTTTTTTTATATTATACTTTTTTATTTTAAATTTTAAACTAAAATAAAAGTAAATTAAAATGAAATGAAATCGAAACGAAATGTAAAGTATTTGTAAAATATTGCCGTGGCCCATGGGTGCCATCAGCCCATGAGTGCCATATACCGGAAGTAGGCATTTAGAATAATATCCCCCCCCCCCGATTTATGTTTATGTCGCGCCATTTTGTATTTTGCATAATGTCGAAGCGAAAGCAATGGGATAATTTTAAAAATAAGCTGGCAGCTAAGAGGATGGGGAAGAAAGAAAGAGTGGAGGAAGGAGAATACCTCACAGTGCAACAACTGTCAGCTTCAGTTGAAGGTAAAGCGCAAAAGTATACTCGTATTGGGCCATTAACAATGGTGCCATTCAAACACGAAGAAAAGACAATGCAAAATGTGAGGCAAGCATGTAAAGATCATTTCAGTTTTGGAGACAAGTATCATTGTGATATCCTTGCTGGAGAAAGGGGGCCGTCATATACTAATATTGGTCAAATAAAGAATTGGAAACTATTACATGTTAGATTTATTGAATCAGATGGTCAACTGTTCTTGAAGGACTCGTCATGCGCATCATCTGCCCAACAAATTAACACAAGAGGGAGAAGTGGCTCGCACAAGGAAGGTAGTACTAGTCTAACAATATCTGTTCCAGATGAAAAGCAAAAGTCATCCATGATCCCTAAGTCAGTTCCACTGAGTCAACTTATTATGATGGGCAAACTCATCCCTCCCAAAAAGAATGTTGTAACATTGCAACTGGAACAGTTCAATGTCACCCTTAAATGCTGGGAGAATCCACTAGAAGCTATTTTGTCAGTGAGTGTTGAAAAATTTGCTAGTGGTGGTTGTCGGGATGCATTCGAGGCAAATGGGATGAAAGGTTTCAGTGGCAAACTGGTTTTAAAGCGTTACAAGCCAGAACGTATAGATGAGTTAACACACCTTTTCAACTCTCTGGATGACCATACTAGGAAAGTCGTCCAAATGCATGCAATTGCACGGCATTTTGCACAGATGATGCAGCGAGAAGCTCCCTTGGAATTCGGTGAAACATTTACATATACAAAGCTGTACTATGGGAAATTAAATGATGAAGCAGTCACAGTTGAACAGTTTATTGAAGGTACATTCATCAAGTATATAAACAATACTGGTGATATCCTTGTTAAAGATCAGAGTGCCATTGCACTAAAGGCTGAATCGTTTGCACATTATTCCTACGTCAAGTCAGGTGAACAACTTATCATAGTTGATCTTCAAGGTGTTGGGTTTACATTATTCGACCCAGAAATTGCCAGTACCACATTGTATGCTGATGACAACTCAATCTACTTTTGTGCTGGCAACCTCTCAATAACATATGCTTGCCCAAAGGGCACAAAATTACGAACATGTACATATCATTTCCATTACGCAAATATCAGTTTCAATCCAAATTCGTCGAAGTTGAGGAAAAAATCGTCAAAGTCGAGTACAAATTCGTCGAAGTCGAGTTGAAATTCGTCGAAGTCGAGTTGCAATTTGTTGAAGTGGAAGTTGAAATTCGTCGAAGTGGAAGTTGAAATTCGTCGAAGTCGACAAACAAATCGTCGAAGTCGAACTCAAAACATTTCTTCGTCCAGTATGATAATTTTTTATAATATATACTGAATACATCACAATTATGCAAATAATTATGTCGAATCGAATGCAACAATTATAATTTATTTTCTTTTATAAATTATAAAAAATACTGTATTTTGCAGTGCTACTTCCGCCTTAATTTACTGTAGGTTCAGGGCGCGAAAACGTACTAAATCGAGGTCTTTATATCAAGCATGGCGAGCGCTCGTCAAACACCCGAGGGTATACATGGTTTACAAACATTAGTTCGAAATATTGTTTCTGATATTGTTGGCGAGAATAGCAGTACTTCAGGAACAGGAAATGCAAATTTACCGCCCTCAAATGTCGGTCCTGTGAATCCTGTCGATGGTCAAAGCAGCGTGACCCAAGAGCTACATGCAAGATTTGGTGTTCCTCGACAGGTGTACAGCCCACTTCAAAATTATGGCAGATCGAGAGAGCCAAGACGAAGAAATAGACGTCAAACGTATTTGACAAATCCACCTATAAGATCTACAAGTAACACTAGAGCTCCACAAACTGTGTCTAAGAGTGATTTTTACATTAAAAATGTAATCTTGCTGCCAGCGCCATCCTACAATACGGTGCCACGAGGGGACACCAAGTCGTACTTGATTTCCCGTGGGCTTATGATTGATGCTTTTGAAATAGATCAGAAATGGGAGCAGGAAGAACTCATTGCAAGGCTCCACGAATTGTTCAAGAACGTATTGCTGAATGAAAGCCAGTCTGTTGTGAAGTAAGTGTGTGTATATTCTTAATATATGACTATGAGAGTAAACAGCTTTTATACGGAATCTTTACATTATCTACTAAGTTTAGTGACGTATTTAAAGTTGCAGAAAATAATTGCATCACCACTAAATTTTGTTCATATACAGGACATACAGTGCACTCACTTCTGTCCACTTTATATTGTCATTGGAAACCACCCAGAGGCATGGGTAGTGATTTGGGATAGGGTAATAATGGGGCATTCTATTTAATATATGTATCTCCCTATTGAGGGGTCTGGATGCATGTCCAATGGGGGAGGAGGGGGTCTTCATCTTAAAATTTCCTGAGGGATAGCTTGAGAGATATTTTTAAAAATGGCAAACATTAGGTATTTTAGTGATATGCAAGGGGTGGGGACAATATCCTATGGGGTATCTTAAAAAAGTTGCATCCAAGGGGGTTCCAAAATTTTTATATCCTAGCTAAGGGGATTATGAAGGGACTCCTCAATAGGGCTACGTAGGGTGCCTATATTAAATGGATGGCCCAATGCTCCTATTTAATTAACTCATTGTTTCAGGTTTGAGTTTGTTAAATCAGGAGGAACAAAAATCTCATCTGTAAATCTTCCACATGGACAACATCTAAGTGCCAGGATCTTAAAACATGTGGTTGGAAATGGTCCAGTGTATATTCGAGCCCTAGAAAAGCTTTCATGTGAGGTAAGTAAAGCTTTCATAATTGGTGATAACAAAATAAAAACCCAAATAAAAATATAGGTTAGTAGTGGAAGGACATTTCCTTTACTCCATGTCTATATATGCCAACTAATGTAGTCTCCTAGTAAGCCCCCGTCTCAAATAAGCCCCCCTCTTTCCCCTTCCCCCATCATTACTAAGCTACCACAAAAGTGCATGAAAACAATAAGGCATTATAAACAATTGCCAGAGTAAGAATTCTATCAGAGTATATATACATGTTTGTTTTTAAAGATTCAACCTGGGGATGAAGAATCAGAATTTTGGACAGAATCACTTGGTCCAGTTCCACCAACCAGTACTGATTCCGAATGTTGTGAAATAACTGAATGCTTAGAGCAAGGTTTGTACCCTATATAACGTATCATGGCTTCATTTGATTACTAGCTAGGACCTGAATTCTTTGCCAGGATTATCCTTTTTTAACCAAAGAGCTGTCAAACATTAATTCTGGTCTTAGTATGGTTAAATGAGTCCATGCATGATATGTCATAGTGCAAAGCCTAATTAGTTGGTCCATCTTGTAAAATAAAATATCTGAATTAGGTTTAATTGGTGTTTTTATTTTGGACAGAATCACTTGGTCCAGTTCCACCAACTAGTGCTGATTCAGAATGTTGTGAAATAACTCAATGCTTACAGCAAGGTTTGTACCTGTTTTAATGTATCATATGGCTTCATTTAACTACTAGGACCTGATTTTTTTGCCAGGATTATCCTTTTTTAACCAAAGAGCTGTCAAGCATTAATTCTGATCTTAGTATAGTTAAATGAGGCCATGGTATGTCATGGCGCAAGGCCTTTAGAATTAGTTGGTCCATCTAGTAAAATAAAATATCTGAATTAGGTTTAATTAATGTCTTTATTTCGGACAGAATCACTTGGTCCAGTTCCAGATTCAGTACAAGCAAGTTCACACAATTCAGATGCTGAAACTGATATGGTGAAAGTTTTACAAGAAATATTTCCTGACAAGCAATACAATGAGTTATTTTCTGTTTCTTCGAGATCAGCAACCTTGCAGGAAGCCATAGATAAGTTGTTGGACACACAAGGCACAATAGATGATGGTAAAGATATTCATATGTGATCTAGTGTTTTGGACCTTTGAACCATATACCACTGACTATGTATATGATCCTAGTACTCAACACACTAAGGCCCCCCTTACACAACCCCGGGCCAACCTGTCTACGAATAAATCTCTATTAGCGTTTACACGATAGCCGGGTCAACCTTTCACACCTCACCAACCCGGGGCACCCTCGAGACCCGGGTTGGCGAGGTGTGAACACGTGAAAAGTTTACTCATTTCTTCATGTAAAGCCGGGTTGGCTTGACCTGGGATCATGTAAAGTGCGGTAAATTCCTGATTGTGAACTTTTCACCTATCGTCATATCGCATTTCAACATTTTGTGTGCATATTTTCTCCATCTCTGTTCAGTACAGACATATAAAATCATACAGTATAGCAAAAGTATCAAAACCAAAAGAAAAAAACGCTCAACCCGCATTTTAGTGGTGTTCTGAAATTTTTCATCACCTAATCCTTTCACTGAAGGATTATAAGACAGAGATGGATTATAAAATTGTAGATTTCAACTCCGATGTCGCAATGTATTCAAAGTTGCACGAAGGTATGGTGTTGGTGTTCGATTCCGAATATTTTGGTCCAGTAGATCTTCCAGTACAAGATAGCGACTATAGGAGCTATCAAAAAAGGAAGAGTAAAAAATAACCAGCTGTGGCGTGCTGACCCGGGTTAAAAAAATCAGCCCCGTGTCACAGCGGATTTGAACTCCCCGCAGATATGGACCCCCCGGTCCATATCCGCTAGCGGATATGTACCCCCTTCCTCGGAATTGGACCCCCTAAAATCAGTCACAAAAAGAAGAAATTTTCGATTTAAGAATTAATTATACAAGTAGTTGTGGATTATCTGTGATGAAATTATAGATAATATATGTATTCTCGAGATCAAAATAATCGGCTTTGCGTAAAAATCTAAACGATATTAATAAAGTAATCCCAAAATGAGAGCATTTGCGAAAGGTTTGCACAACATTTATTAGCTAATAACAATATAATAACAAATTGATTAAACATGCGATGTAACAACATGTATGATAACTAATGGCATGACTCAACTATCTTGGAATTTGCTTAATGACGAAAACAAGTTATTGAGATGCTAATTTTATAAAAGTTTAGGCTTGAATGGAATGCATCACTTTGTTATGGGTATGTTAAGGCAAAAATAATTTGAAATATATTTTCATTTTCCGTTTTTATTTCAGCAGTTAAGTGTCAGAGCAGATAGCAATTCCAAGGAGTAAAATGCTTGTGTGAAGGCTTTCATGTGCTTCTCGCACATTCCAAGATCATAGAAATAAACTCATGTAGCAGAAAAATTATAAATCATAAACTTTGACAGAATTCTTTAATCTAAAAATCTATGATTTGATGGAATTTTTTAATCTAAGAATCTTCGTACGGTTTTTAAAATAAATCAGATGAGATTTATGACGATTTAAAACACTTTCAGTACAATATTCGAAATACAATACGTTGCAATGATAAAAATACGCGAGGGGTCCAAATTCGCGAGGGGAGTCCAAATCCGCTACCGAATAAAGACCCCCATAGGTCCATATTCGTTAGCGGATATGGACGTCCAGGTCCATATTTGCTAGCGGATTTGGACCGGGGAGGGGGTCCATTTTGAGGGGGGTCCAAACCTGCTGGGACACCGGGCTTGTGTAAAGGGGGCCTAAATCCCTAACTAATAGCCATAAAATTGCTAATTAATCCCATAGCCTTTTGCAAGGACAGTCTGTGGTATACATCTGGGGCAGGAGCATGCGTGGGTTGCCATAAATGCTGAAAATGCTGTAACTGATAGTTTTAAAAGTTATATGAAAACCTGATGACCTATTATTTAGGAATATAGCTCTCTCCTCCGCAGAGGCTTTGTGTTTTGTTTTGGTTTTGTTCGAAGTTTGCAGGCGGGATAGTCGCGGGCTAGGCAGGCTGGGGGAAAATTATAGGGGATAAATAGGGCCTAGCCTGAGACTTATCCCGCCTGCAAACTTAAAACAAAACAAAAACAAAACACAAAGCCTCTGCGGAGGAGAGTGGGAATGTACAGGATCTAGATACAAGGACAGAATAAGAACACATAAAAGTCGCTCTGTGAAAACCTTCTATGCCCTTTTTATAGTGTGCATTTGCAGCAAGTGACTGGGATACTTGCTGTACATACACAGTAAGTGCTGAGGATTGTAAAACCAGAGGTGTATACCTCTAGTTACATGCTAATTTTGCAGATTTTTCTTGTACAATTGCTTAAAAAAAGTGGTTGCACAAACATCAAAAGATCTGATAAGTGTGATATCGATTTCCATATGTCTTACTGATATTCATAGCAAAATATAGACATCATGTATTATCCACAGCAACTATCTGGTAATTTACATGTTATTCATGTAACCCCATACAATTTTCTTCTTGCAGATTATCATTCATTAGCAGAATATTAATTGTTCATATTTTTTACAATAATATTGTTTTTTCAGATTCAGAAGAAATTTGGATGCTGCCGTTATCAGCTATAAAATACCAAAAGCTGAGTGGTGTAGAAGCACTAAAGCAATTTATAAATCGTATTAGACTGTTGGACGAGGATCAACAATATCTTAACATCACAAGGGAAGAAAGTATCATTAGCCAGGTCATTTCAAAATACAAAAATCCAAGGTTTGACATTAGAAAGCCATTGTATGTTAGTTTCAGAAGTTCTGGAACTGCCGAACTTGGCGTAGATGCAGGTGGCCTAACAACAGAATATTTTTTCCAATTGGTCAATGAGCTAGTAAGAGGTGATCTGAATGGGATAAGGCTATTTGAAGGAGCACAAGGCCATCTGCTTCCAAGGTTCGATTATGACCTAATATCTGGAAATATTATGAAATTAGTTGGCCGGATAATTATGCATTCCATTCTCAACAACTGCAGGGGTCTCAGTGGGCTCTCACCAGCAGTAGTCACCTATATTGTCACTGGTACCAGAGATGCAGTTTTGGAGAACCTGGACATCGAAGACATACCCGATCCTTGTCTTAGAGAAAACCTAAGAGAGGTACAAAATATTTAAATTGTTGATGATGTGCAAATGGATAAATCAAGGGAAAGATTATATTCAATGCTAGAATTTTATGACTAGAACTTTAGGCTCCTTTGACGGAAATTGAACAATCGAGTATGCAATGCAAATTGGAACTGTTCCTGGTTAAGTCTAAAATTTTGCATCCTTAATTTGTGAACCCTTGATTTGTCCATGACTCCCTAAGCTATATTGAGGAAATGGCTAAATTTGCCCATCCCCCTGCACAAACGTTCAGGCAAACAACCTAAATTGCTTGAAAAATTCTTACAGGTAGTAGGAATATAGGAAGCTGGGGGACAGCAACCCTACAATGTTATGTACTGGTGGGCTGGTGTGCCTTTGCCCCTTCTCCACCGAATTACAGTATTGAATTGAAATTGCAAAAAATATTTGATTTTGATGAAAGGGCCTATGAGATGATTCTAAACCCCTACCGCCCGGCCTGCCTAAGTATTAGTGTTTAATTAACAAGCTTCCTGCAGTCTTGTTTGACAGAAGTCAAACAAGACTGCAGGAACTACAGTGAGTCGATTAAATTCTATTCAATTATATAGCTCTTATCATGCAGCGGGGAGGATTTGAGCAAGTTTATGGATTATAACAACCCTTCCAACATTGCTGATATAATTACATCATCTGGTTTCCCCCATATTCAAGTAACAGACACAAATAAAAATTTGGCATATGAATGTTGCTTTGTACATGAAGTAATTACCAAGCGAATTCCTTTACTCGATGACCTTCGAGAAGGCCTTATGTCTGAAAGTTCCATGGGAACAGGTCTGCTAAATTTGGCAAGCATGCATAAAGAAGTCAGAGATATAGTCTTTCCACCACCATCTGGCCAGATTGACCTGGTTGAATTGAAGAGAATGGTTCAGTACGAGCGTGGCTTTATGCGTAATCCTGATGCTGTGGTTGCTAGAGATTTTATGAATATGTACATGGAAGAAATGAGTCAAAGAGGTAATGTACATGTTCTTGTTAAAAAGTCTTTAATTTTCTTACATTTGTAAACTGCATATTTAATGAATCAAGCAAAGGGCAGGGCAACATGGGTATTTTCATGACTCATGATTGGGTATTACCTGTGCTTCGTCAGTTATGCAGTGCCTTTTTTAACTATATATCTGGGGGGGGGGGAAAGGATTTTGCCCCCCCCCAGTAAAACCATTTCTGCCCAGTAAAACCATTTCTGCCCCCGAAGTGCGAAGTAGAATTGCTCATGATTGCTGTCAGAATTGCAGTTGATTTACTTGATGAGATTATGCCCTTCCATAGCCTCCTCCACAGCCATCTTGTGTGTAATTCATATTGTTCTAAACCAAGTATTTCATAATAGCGATAGATTTCATGCAAACAATCCGATAAAATACTAGCCTTTCCAAGCCTTGCGACTCTCCTCTGCAGAGGCGTTTTGTTTTGGAAGGTTTTATTGCAAATTTTTTTTCTTAAAAATATCAAGTTATATTAAGAATCCCCTCCCCCCCCCAATCGCCACAAAAACCGTTCGCCAAACCTCAACGGCTCATATTTTTCGTTCTGCTTTTTTTTCCTGTCCCCCCCCAGTGAAAATTCCTTATAAAAGGCACTGCAGTTATGAAGATCCCCCGGTGCTTCGTCAGTTATGAAGATCCCCCTGTGCTTCGTCAGTTATGAAGATTGTCTTGCAGGAGTCGTAAAAATATCCTGATTGCAAAGATCATGAAAATTAAGTTTATTTTTTTTGTGAAATGCAAAATGAAAGTTTGTGAACTGGTGATAAGACCCCCTTCCCCTGCTTGTTATTTTACTGGGTAATGCCATCCCATTTTATTGTCAAGACCTTGCACCTTAATATATGGGTTTTGTTGCTCCAAGCTTGGAGAAAAAAAAATCGTTGGGATATTACCCATTGTGTGAGGGCAGAGGGGGTAGTAGTAACAGCCATTGGCAATGCATTTGGCCAGACAGCGATACTTGTCAGTTAAAGTCTAATTGACAGTTAATGTGTAAGAACTGTATTATCTTCTTTGTTAGAGGGGTCTGATGATGAACAATTGGGTGATTTACTTCAGTTCTGGACAGGCTGGCCATCCTTACCAATGATGGATGAAACACTCACTATCACATTCCTTGCTAAAGAGCCATCAAAGGTATTAGCTGTCGTAGATACCTGCTTTAAGTCTTTAGCAATCCCAACAATTCACAGTTCTTACGAAGCTTTTCGGGGGAAAATGGATCTTGCAGTCGGGCATGGAAAAGTTGGATTTGGCAGGTTGTAACTGCTGAATAGAACTCATAATTTGATGTTGACATTATGTTTAAAGTTCTATAACAGTTGATACTGTACACTTTAATTTGCTCTAGTTGTGTATTGTTTATTTGTTGGCATTTACACAAAATATTGTAGATATACAGTAAGATAGTTAAACACAGCAGTACTGTTATTTCATTTATATGTTTATTTATATTTGCAAAATTAAATACTCTAAATTTTTTTACGGTTAAAAAGACACTATGCACCAGTTATACTTTGCCTCATGGGGTATCTGGTGTTAAACTGCCAAATTATGCTGTTGTGGTGTTAAACTGCCAAATTATTAATGCTTTTGCTACATTAATAACTTGTGAAAGTTCTCACTCAAGGGAATCAGGTACTGGTGCTTGCAGTAGGTTGGAAACTACCTGAAAAAAATTGGGAAAAACTCTGAAAATTCAGAACATATCCCTTGGAGCAAGTCGTTCACTGGTGGATGAGGATATATTGTGAAACGCACTTACACAGTGCAAATATTCATTAAAACCCGGTGTCTTATAAGTAATTTTATATAAAATGTTAACTGAGAATCTCACAATCATGTGGTTTTAGGCTAAATAGGCCAAATTATATTTATATTATGACGTCATGTTCAAGGTGTACATAAAACCTCATTCACTTCTTTCATAGAAGCGATTTTTATGCCACACAATGCTTAGTTCTGAAGAAATACTCTTGAATATTAATGGTTTATTCAAAGATCTTCTTGTCAATGTTTGCTGATAGACGACCGTCGCTAAAGCCCGATTGATTCTCATTTATCGTAAACATAGGCGATGCCCATTGTCGGTGGTCATTGATGCATAAAATGTTTTGTGCATTTTCTTCTTCGTTGCTCACAAACAATGGATCGTACAACATCGCCGATTAATGAGAACCAGGCTTAAGCGGTTTAGGCAGGGGTTGTTTGTGTCGCATTTGCCGACAAAAAATTGTCCCACCAACCAAAATTTTGTTCCCGAAAATGTTGTCAATGGGTGATCAGGCAATATGGTATGTTTCAGAAGTATACAAATATATTGAGTAATGTTGAATTTTCTTGTCTTTGATTGTTACAGTACAGCCTTGCGACATAATAGACATCTCCTTATTTTATACCCTTCCCACCTAGAGTGGGGGGTGGGGCAAAAGATCAATTTTCCCTGAGCACAGCTAAAGGGGACTCCCAAATAAAAAATTAAGTGAAATATGAAGGAATAGTCTCACAGGCTGTAAGATTTTGCCATTGCTAGGAACTTGGATTTCAAAATATTTCTGGGGTGGAATACCCCCAGACTCCCCTGCAGTACATTAATAGTATACAATGGAAATCATGAACTTATGATCTTCAGCTCTTATTGTAGTTTTGTTTTTAGTAGAAATTAAAACATGACCGACTCTGGTCTTCATGGATTTAGAGCTTTTATCTAATTAACTATTCATAAAATTCAAAATTATATTAGTAAGAAACGACTGGCACTAGCAGCTGCGTAAGAGACAGTGGCGTAACCAGCCCGACAATTTAGTCCCGCTATGCAAAATTATCATTATTCATTTCTTTAGAAATTGATTGTTTTCACAGTCAATGAACACAAAACTATTTGCATAGCGGAACTAAATCATCGGGCTGGTTATGCTACTGGTAAGAGACTAGATTACGATCTACTGTATGATATTAGAAAGATACCTCATTACTCTTATATAACATGCTATTCCATTTGGATCGTCAGTGACATCATAATGCAGTAGTTCTTGTAAGGCCACACATGCTGCATCTTCAAGTGCTATTGGGGATTCTGGAACAACTACAACATTAGAAGTTTCAATTTCAGCATCCTCTTCATGCGACCCATCTTCAACTCCATAATTATCTAGGACTTGGTCCCCTAATAGTACGGAGTCCACTGCACTGTAACCGGAGTTTCTCAATGTAACCATATCTCTAACCCAAAGCTGAAGAGGACTGTAATGACACTCGGATGTTAGGGGATGATTATTCCATTGCCCCACAAATTCGTCTATGGAATTATTGATTAATGGCAGGTAGACATTATGCAAAGCTAAGATATGAACTTCGTTGTCTGGATCAAAATAACCATTTGATTCCAGAAAAAGAAAAATGTTTAAAAACCGACTGACAATTACCCGGTTTACCTCCCGCCACAATCGTTCAATCCTTTGATTCCTAACAGATGGACCTGCTAAAGTACTTCCACGATTAACACCTCGTGTGTCCAACATCAATCTGCCGATGTCAATATTTTCGAGTCCAAAATCACATCTTACCCTACTGGGCAGATTAAAACGAACAACTGCTTCTTGAAATAATTGTAGCACTGTTGATGCCTTATTGTTGGTTGAGGCTTTTAAATAGACAATAAGCCTGCTATAGCCATCTATACCCCCATGCAACACAATCCTGTATGGATTAATTAATTTGTGATCCCCATCAATGTGCCTGCAATGAAAATTTGCAGTCATTTATTTTGATATAGTAGGAACTATACAGTATGATTGTATGTACTTTTGCTTATCAAGGGGAGACTCCTCCTTTTCACAGTCAAACCAGATGTTAATATCCTGGGAACATTGCATTATTTGGAAAATTTGCAAGGGCTATAGGAAGATTAGATCATCCCAAGCGAGCAAAATTCACATAATTTGAAGCTCCACTGAAGGCTAACTGCTGTAACCTTTACGCCCGTATTCTAAAAGCTCACTCACACTCAAAATGAGTGGAGGTTCAATCTGAGCTTCTCTTTTAGTGCCAGTGCAGTTTTTGACTAGCTGGAGGGTTAGTGTCGTACCTTAATATGTGACTACTCACCCTCCAGCTATTCAAAAACAGTATTAACACTCAAAAGAAGCTAAGATTGAACCTCCACTCATTGAGTGTGAGTGAGCTTTTAGAATACGGGCATTAGTAACACTTTGAGTGAAGTTTGCTACATGAAATGAGGTTCTTACATCCGGTTAGACATACTGTATTAAATGCCTTGGTCTGTCTATGTGAGAAGAGTAATGTTCTGTACTTTATTATTCTATAGTAAAATGTCGAAAGACATTTTTACTAAAGGCCATGTTAAGGCGGTTTTCCAGTCCTCGCACGAAGCTCCTCGCTGCGAGTGCTTGCATCTAATTAAAATTGACGGTTTAGCATTGTGATTAGATGAACGTGCTCATGCATAACTCGCAGCGAGCATGCAGCTTCGTGTGAGGACTGGAAATCCGCCTTTACACGGTGCAATTTTTCTTGCAACTTGCAATGCAATTCTACTCTTGAGAGATGTTAATTAGTGAAATCAGTGAAGAATTTTCGACATGTTGACTGTTGAGAAAACATCAGCGAAGTGTAATGAAGACTCATATTTGGCAATTTTACATCTCTCAAGAGTAGAATTGCATTGCAAGGGGCCATCCATTTAATATACACCCCCCCCCCTATAGACGAGAATTTCTGAGGGGGGTTGAAAAAGCTGTTTCTGAGGGGTTGTGTGCATCGGCATCCTTTGATCTTTGCGTTTTTTCTGAGGGGTAAGGCAAAAATTTCTTAATTTCTGGGGGGTGTTTGTGTCGGCACTTTGAACTTTTTTTCTTAGGGGTTCAAATTTTACTGACCTCGTCCATAGGGGGGTGTGTACATTAAATGGAATGGCCCAAGTTACAAGAAAAATTGCACCATGTAACATAGACTTAAGACAGTCTAATTTAGTTACTAACTTACCAAAGAAAATTGGGGCAAGGGACATTATAGCGTCTCCTGACTATTTGCCTGCTGTCTCTCAACGTGGGTGTCACTGGGTCTATTCTTTGTATTGACTCCACTACTCTTCTCCTTTGAACGTGCACTCCCCTGTTTTGCAATGACCCACGAACTAGATTTCTTCCAGCTTGTGGAGTAATTTCTAAAATATCTCCTACAATATTGTCTAAATCTGCGTCTGTAATACTATCGTGCGAATGCACGCCTACACCGGACTCCTGCCTTCGTCTCCTTAATGTTCTTGCAGACACTCCGTACAGCGAGCTTATATCAACCCAGGAAAAACCAAGAGATCTGAAATTGGAAATATCGTCCATGTTTAACGAAAGTGGAGGCCTACCTGCTGCTCCAGTTGAAATAGTAGCAGTTCTAATTGTCTCTCCACAAGGCAAACCGTTTTCTTGTAGGGGGCGAGCCAATTCTTGAAGTTCACTTCGAATTGAGGCCATGTGTTGCTGCAGTGTAAGAAGGTTCTGAAGTAATCTTGATTCGGCGCCATCGTCTACATTCCTTCGATATCTATCAACAATTACATCCAAACTTGGCTCGTAGTTTTGAATACGCCTACACCAGTAATCAAAATCCCCGTTTTCGCCACTTTCCAATTGCCCCTGGGCGCTACACAAACACTGACATAAAGATCCAAAAAATCCTTCTATATTTGGCAGCCAGCGATACGCCATTACTCATTAGAGTCGTCTTTTTAGTTCCTTGACCTTGTTGCAACGGAAGTAGCACGGCAAAATATTTTCTTGGTTGCATTCGATTCGACATAATTATTTGCATAATTGTGATATATTCAGTATATATTATAAAAAATTATCATACTGGACGAAGAAATGTTTTGAGTTCGACTTCGACGATTTGTTTTTCGACTTCGACGAATTTCAACTTCCACTTCGACGAATTTCAACTTCCACTTCGACGAATTTCAACTCGACTTCGACGAATTTCAACTCGACTTTGACGAATTTGTACTCGACTTCGACGAATTTGTACTCGACTTTGACGATTTTTTCCTCAACTTCGACGAATTTGGATTGAAACTGATATTTGCGTGATGGAAATGATATGTACATGTTCGTAATTTTGTCCCCTTTGGGCAAGCATAAACTTCATCATTACCTCCTCGTACTGAGAATTAGCCAATTCAATAAAACGCATTGCATCTTCAAGCTTAGAGCCGAGCTCGGAAACTTTCAAGTTCAAAGGTGTTAATTTCTGGTCCAATTTCTCGTCTAATATTACTTTCAATTGCCGAAAGATATAGAGCCGGCTGTCATTGAACATATGATTTACAGCCTAGTTACCAAGTTTTAACAAGAGGAGATTTAATGCTTGAAAAAATTAATCAAAATTACAGTCCTATTCCTGGTAATGCGAATTATCCATCCGAGGGGTATGGCCACTAAATTGTTGTATATTAGTTTCTCATTAGTTAGTTAGTTAGGAACTTTATTAAAGTGTCATTTGCATCTAGCCGGTTACAGATAACCTACTAATTGGGGACACTAAGCTTAAACAACTGAATTTACACCTATTGTATATTACTAAAATTTCTGCTATGATTACATATATAATACACTAATTATTTTACTACAGCTTAGTACCAAGACTATTATTATGGAGTTTATCATGCAATACAACTGAGGTCTGTTTTTCTGATACTACGCTTAAAAGCAGAATAGCGAAGTCTGATTTCTGTCTTCGGATTTTAATTTTGACCAAAGGTAAGGTCCATAATACCTTAATGAGTGTTTTCCAAATGAGTGTTTTCCAAATTGGTATAAGAAAGTCTGAGTTTCTAAGATTATAATTCCTTGGTGTGTTTATAAATATATTTAATATATTGTTCGGAAGTAGCCTTTGTTTGACTTTAAACATGAATATGGCTATGTTTGCAACCTCCGGTTGTACAAACTTGTTAACTGGGCCCTTAACAGTAGATCTTCATATGTTGAGTTCCAGTCACAGAAAACTGCTCTCAGCCCCCGCTCATTTACCCGTTCTAGCTTTCTACAATCCGAGCTTTTACAGAAGTGCCAGACCAATCCGCAGTACGTCAAATACGGTAATATAGCGGCTTTGTAGATCTTTAACTTCGCATTAACTGGAATTAATTTCCGTAATCTCATCAATATACCCACACGCATACTTGCTTTTTTACACGCTGTTGAAATATGCTCATCGAAATACAGTTGATCAATCTCCACACCCAGCAAGATGAGCTTTTCTGTTATCTTAATTTTACGACTGTCTACTTCTATATTCAGTTCTTGCGAATTTTTCGATATGGTCATTGCTTGGTATTTGCTTAAATTTCCTTCAAGGAAATTTTCTACGGTAATATAGCGGTAATATAGCGGCTTTGTAGATCTTTAACTTCGCATTAACTGGAATTAATTTCCGTAATCTCATCAATATACCCACACACATACTTGCTTTTTTACACGCTGTTGAAATATGCTCATCGAAATACAGTTGATCATCAATCTCCACACCCAGCAAGATAAGCTTTTCTGTTATCTTAATTTTACGACTGTCTACTTCTATATTCAGTTCTTGCGAATTTTTCGATATGGTCATTGCTTGGTATTTGCTTAAATTTCCTTCAAGGAAATTTTCTACGGTAATATAGCGGTAATATAGCGGCTTTGTAGATCTTTAACTTCGCATTAACTGGAATTAATTTCCGTAATCTCATCAATATACCCACACACATACTTGCTTTTTTACACGCTGTTGAAATATGCTCATCGAAATACAGTTGATCATCAATCTCCACACCCAGCAAGATAAGCTTTTCTGTTATCTTAATTTTACGACTGTCTACTTCTATATTCAGTTCTTGCGAATTTTTCGATATGGTCATTGCTTGGTATTTGCTTAAATTTCCTTCAAGGAAATTTTCTACGGTAATATAGCGGTAATATAGCGGCTTTGTAGATCTTTAACTTCGCATTAACTGGAATTAATTTCCGTAATCTCATCAATATACCCACACACATACTTGCTTTTTTACACGCTGTTGAAATATGCTCATCGAAATACAGTTGATCATCAATCTCCACACCCAGCAAGATAAGCTTTTCTGTTATCTTAATTTTACGACTGTCTACTTCTATATTCAGTTCTTGCGAATTTTTCAATATGGTCATTGCTTGGCATTTGCTTAAATTTCCTTCAAGGAAATTTTCAGTGTACCAACAGAAGGTTTGTTTTCCATCTCGGGTTATAGTGTCCACTGCTCTCTCTGGTTCTTTATGGGCATAGTAAAGCTGATGATCATCCGCGTACGCAGATAGCCGACTTTCACGTTCAACATAAAATAAATCGTTCTGGTAGATATTCCATAACGTCGGGCCCAAAGAAGAGCCTTGAGGACATCCTCTCTTTGTTTCTTTCCATTCGCTGGTTACCTGTCGCATTTTTGTTCTATTCATACGTTC